TTTCTGAAAACGAAAGAGACCACTGGAGGTGAGGAGTGCAGCTCTGTTCCTCCATTAGTACAGTCCTCATCCTTAACAGATCAGATTGAGATCTGGGCAAAGAGTTTTAGAAAGGTCTAAAACAGATGGAAACTTTTGCACAGTTAAGATGGGAGGCAGGAGAAAAATGAGACCAGTTCCTCAATTGTGCAGGCAAGATTTGATTTGAACCCCTAAATAAATATGGAGGGAGAAGAATGTTCTGATTTCTCTTGAATTGATCTTGAGAATAATCTTCGTTACTCTCTCCGTCTCTTAAAGAAATTCCCGACATATCGCTCGGAGTGGAATTAAATCGTATCTCCGAGACCGTGCGTTCCAGTGCAAGCTTCGTTTCGGCACGCCTGACCCACTCACCTTCAGGGTGCTCCTGTTGGGCTCTGGCAGCAGCACGATGAGCAGATTGAGGACGTGGAGCTTCTGTTTCAGGTCCGGGATATCTGCGGATCACAGGGACGGACCGTCACAGACAGGCAGAGCCCGGCAGTCTGGACTTGACACTCTCTCTCGGTCACAGACACACGCGCACTCAACAACCCCTGCAGTCAAGTCACAGACGACGTAGCCATGAGCTCCCTGAAGCTCCTACAAACGCCTCTTTTTTCGAGGTGTGATGTTACTCGGCCCCCCTACAATGGCGATAGGCGTTGCGTGACTCCCCCCAAAAAGGAAGGCGCTATATCTTGGCAATGAAAGCACCTCGGACTCTACTTTCAACCGCACAGACGGAACACTAGCCAATGCAGTGGGCTTTACTGTTTGTGCTGTTTGTAGGGGTGCCAACTTCACGGAGCTATAGAAATGAACCCTTTTCCTGTCAAATAGTTATGGTGATACTCTTGGTGTGCTTGGCATGAGCCCTGACCACACCAGGTTGAGTTATAGGTCTCAAAGAGCAGTGCCTTCTTGAATGGATCAAAATATTTTTTGAAACTGAGCTTCCTGCAACTTCCCCATCTTGTCAAGGCTGTGTTTTTCTGACACAGTAATAGAAATACCAGGACTTTTACTTTTATTTGTGTGCTTTAAATACTGTAGGGGTGTGTAAATGGCAACGACTTGGTTTGGCGGCAGCACGGCACAGGAGAGACGAGCCTCTTACTCTGGACAGCGATAAAGGTGTTGAGGTGCTCTGCGGTCAGCAGGGGGGCAGGCAGCTCACGGATGAACCTTTTGAGCAAGGCCGCGGCGTCGTTGGGGCTGACCTCCTCCCAGCTGAACTCCTGGGAGTAGAAGGTGCTCTCCAGCTTCTTCTGCAGGGCCTGGCCACAAGGGGGCGACAGAGAGGAGTCAAAACAGAGTAGCACCAGGAGGCAGTGGGGTGGGAGCTGTTCAGGCACTTTTTAAGTGCAGCCCTGGCTATTTTAAAGCCTTCTTCATCTTGAACAATCCACCAAGACTATAAACGCGTCTCTTAAATAAACTAGCAAGGCAAAGCTAATTGCGATCTGTTTGTCTAAAGTGCATAGTCTGTATATGAATCTGATTATTTTAAATGACCTTCACGTCTTCAGGACTGTAAAAAAGTGAAATATTTTGGAAAAGATATACTAGCATCCTTATAAAAGGCTACCTTGGTAAATCTGCCAAGGTACTTTGCTCATTTACCATACTTTTACTGTAGTTTTTCTGCTTGCTCAGATTTACTATGCTGTACTTCACTGGGCCATGGAAATGCCACAGTATGCTACAGTAAACGTTGCTGTATCGGGACATTCCCATGGCCCAGTGTAATAAATCACACAGTGGAGGATGTGAAAGGGTATTTTACGATGTTAAAACCACAGTAAATGTGCAGAACTAGGAAGAGTTTAACCAAGTTAAACTCTTACGGCAGGGGTGCCGTTTTAGAAATCCACTCTGTTTTTTTCCTAAATCGGAAAAGTGAAGCCTGCCAGACAGTGTGTGGTGGGTCGCGTTCCTTACCCTACCTTTATCCGGGTCTGGGACCCCGGCACTCGCAGAATTCCTTCCGAATCCAGACCCTTCCTCTCCAGGAAGGACAGCAGCTGTGAAAGTGGGGGTGGGGAGGGGGGCAGAGGAAGGAAGAGGATCCAGGTCAGTCCTGCTGAGCTCCGATCCCTCAGTGACGCGTGTGTCAGATCACGCATTTCACACCCACCCCCTCCCCCGAACCGCCCTAAAACAATCTTTCCACAAGACAATTAAGGACTGTAGTGTTCAGCACAACAGGGCGTGACAATCCCAGACTGGAACGTTTAACAACTGAGTCACATTTTTATCTATCTGGGAAACCCGATAACCCTCCACCTACAGCACTGACATGTATTTATTTGGCTCAGGCTTTTCAAACAGACGAGCGAGGTTTTTCACACCCGGATACAGCTCAGTTACTGTGCTGGAGGTACCTTTCTCAGAGGGGGCATGGCAGTGATGCACCTGGGATTTGAACCCTCAACTGTACGACTATGGGGTCCAGAACAGTGTGAAAACGCGCTTTAAAAAGCCAGGGTTGGAGACCAGACCACAGCAACTTGTGGATTTCACTACGACGCACTCACTGCTTGATTAATCTAATTATAAATAAGTGGCCATGCTGCTGTCAGATTGGTGCTTAAGATAAGCCGCCCGTGAGCCCTGTAACAGTAAGGCTCCTGTTTCATAAGACCGGCACTAGTATGTAAAGAAACCTTGCGGTGTGGAAATGAAAGCGACTCACCTCCTGGAGGATGAGGGGGATGGAGATATTCAGCTTGATCCTCAGGTCATTCTCCAGCAGCGTGGCAAGGGGTACCCCAAACAGGCAGCTCTCTGCAGGGACACACACAGCGGGTCAGCGCGTCCTGCAAGCATGCAGGCCCGTCCTCTGGGATTCTACCCCGAGGAAACGCAACCCTTTTCCTACAGTTTTACCATGGTTTAGCTGTAGTTGTACACTGGCGCGTTGTAGCCTCCAGAAGCTGGAGTGTGTCTTCCCTTTGCTGTACCACAGAGGGCCATGGTAAAACCAAGGTACACTGCAGTAAACATCTGTCAAGCTCTGCATCCAGTGCAATAAAGCACAGTGAACGTTTTTTTTTAAACCACAGCAAAACTATAGGGTTAAGCTACAGCAGAAGTGCACAGATACTGCGGTTAACTCCAGTTCATTAAGTGAACCTTGACTGGAGTCAGTCGTGGTCAGAACAAACCCAGCAGACACGCGTCTCTTGAGGACCATCATTGGAAACCTTTGCCTCAAGCCATAAACCACCTATGGATTCGTCTCCATGTGGCGCCATCCTGTGCCAAAGAGGAGGACCCCTCTGGAGGTCAGTGTTGCGTACCTGGAATCTTCCTCTTCCCGGTCTTGTGCCTCTTGAGGTCGAGCTCCAGCAGGTCGCAGAGCGCGGTCATGTCGATGAGGGCCAGCTGGCGCACCTTCTTCATGTCCTGGGGCGAGAGGTCCTGGATGTGGGTCACGCCGAGCCGGCAGCGCGGGCAGACGACTTTCTGCTGAGACGGAGGTGGGGACAGGTCAGGGCTGAGGCTGGGCTGGGCCGGTCCCGGCTCCTGGCCCGTTTCCGCGCTTCAACAGAAGCCTGCGCCTGAAAAACTGCAGGCTGGATAACCGGAGGGATTTTAAGGAAAGGGCGTGTGTGCCACTTACAGGCAGAGTGCCATCGTCTTTCTTCTGCAGGTTGCTGTTCCAGGGCAGCTTGGCCTGTTTCAGCATGATGACCGCCTGCTCGCAGTAGGCGACGTCCGTGATGAAGATCTCGTCTCTCGCTGCTCTGCGCTGTGACTCCTTCCTGACACCTGACCGCACACACACACACAGACACAGGCCTTCGTCACCAAAGCCCTGGTCAGGCTTCTGCAACTGCTGTCTTAGTAACTCCTCCAATATCATTTCTCTCTCAAAACGTATCAAACTCATTATATCTTCCCCTGGTCTTTGTTAAACACAGTGGCTTTATCATGGCATACACAATTTCAAGCGTTTTAGGCAGGCTAAGCATAAAGCTTTTGTAAGAGAACAGAATATCGCTAGCAGTTCCCTTGGTTAAAAGAATCTACAGACTTATTTTCTGTTAACATTAATGGAGCAGAAATAGAGTCAGTTCATACCTGCGGGAGGGGTTTTGACCAGACTCTCCATGTTCTCCTCGGGGGTCAGAAGTTCTGAGAGGGATTCCTGGGTTTCTGGAAGGGATTTCTGCGGAGGAAGAATGAAACAGTCAGTCCCCTCGGTCCTGAAGGGAGCTTTCGATGAGCCAGGATTTATACAGGGCGGCCAAAAGCAAAAAAGGAGTTTTGTACCTGAAATTAAAGGGAAATACCACCCTGTTTCAGATTAGCAAAAAAACAGTAGTGTCTGCGTCTTGTATATTTATTGAGACCCACTGAGATAAACATAGAAACGCAGAATCCAACACAGCCTTTGTTGTTATATCAGAATACACAGGACAAATAAAAGATCTACCCTAAACAGACCATCGACGACCTTTGATTCCTTCTAATACTGTTTGTTTTTTGATCTTCAGGCAAGTGGAGGAATCAAGTCTCTTTGTGAGTCTCTCTTAGAAGCCTCTTAAACTCTGGAAAGGGGAGGGACTAGACTGGGGAGGTCTCACCTGTGCAGGTAACCACATCCCTTCCCTAGTTCTGGGAACTAGATGGCTCATGCCAGATCGTGATCATTCATGTTAAATACCGACAGTCAGATGCTTTACACTTCAGTGACTTAATTATTTAATCCAGTGGTTCTGAAATTCATTTTGATTTGAATTTGATGCCCTGACTGTAGGAAAACGCAATGCTTTCCTACCAGGCGGCGTGCTCTCACAATAAAGATTTGCATAACAGGTTCAATGGGTGTTTTGTGCGCATCGTGAAAAAAATGGGAAAAAAAATGAAACGAAAATGAAAATGAAAATTACGCTGGAGGAGGTCCTGCCAGTAGACCTGCTGTCCTCATGCCTGTGACACACAGCTCAGACACAGCTGCTGTTGTCCTCTAGAAGTGAACAGGGAATCGGTGAAGTCCTGCATTGTGTAACCGGCTCAGAGGAAGGATTACCGCCGGATTAATTACTTTTCGAAAACGCTTTATCTTCGGCTGGGGTCTGCACATACCAGTGGTGCTCGGAAGCCACAGCCCAGTAGCTTTATGAAGTCGCCCGGTAAATCACCACTGCCTTCAGTCGTACCTGGTACCACCCACCCGTTTTCAAAACGCTTCATAGCAATTCAGGGGTGCAGGGAAGCTGGAGCCTAACTCGGCAAGCAACAGGCACAAGGCAGGGTTCACCCTGGACCCTGTGTCAGTCCATCACAGGGCAGACAGACACACGCACACCAGGGCCAGTTTTCCCAGAAGCCAATTAACCCCCCAGTATGACTTTGGACTGTGGGAGGAAACCGGAGCACCCTGAGGAGAGCCATAAGAACATGGGGAGAACATGCAAACTCCACACAGACAGCTCGCCAGGACTGGAATTGAATCCAGGAACCCAGCACAGTAAGGTGGCAGTGCTAACCAGTGAGCCACCCTGGTACCTGATAGAGGTAATTTAAAATTTTTCAGGCAGGGCTGCCCAGCTTTACAAATCATACGTGCTCCCCCTTCCTTTCACACTCCTTCGCCCCAGGAGAGATTCTCTGTTGCGATGCCTACTTTCAGATGGCATGGTGATCATGGGCACATAATCGTACTGCGATCAGGACTTGGAAACCTTGTGATCAAAACCCGAGGTGTAGATTTTCCGCCGTGAGAACACATCGGGAAATCCGGGCACGGCGACGTCACTTTCAGAACAATCATCCTTTCCGTCTAACGTTACAGATCAGTGGCGTTCAGAGACGGTGATGAAGGCAGGCCGATGGGAATATTTGAGAAATACAAAAGCAATGCATCATCCAATTGTTTTGTAACTTGTGCCTAGCTACTGTCATCATTGTGTAATTTAAGATCTACCAGTTTAAAGGTTTTCCCCATCCTTACTCACTCAGTTCAACCAGCTAAAGCTAAAAAGAGAAGAGTTTCCCGCTACGAGGGTGTTAGGGTGACTCAGTGCCATCTGACATCTGTAACTGTTGTTTCATTTCTTGTATTTGCTGGATAAAGTAATTATTTCTTTTATTAAAGCATGAAAGTGTGAAGGCTTCATTTGCTGTACTGATCTGTCTGCGCTTCCCAGGGTGAAGTTATTCAGGGCCAGCCAATGTGAATTGCAGACTTAAAAAAAAAAACAAAGTTGATTTGAATATATATACACTATATTTCAGTTCAGCTATTTTCCCACTGTGCATGCCATCTAAAGGTTCAAACCAACGTAGGGAACAATATGTCCCTGATTTCTTCCTGAACTCATGGCAGAAGCCTTTATCCCATGCTGCAGTCTGTGCTCGTGTCTTAATAATAATAACAATAATAATAATAATAATAATTGCTTACACTTATATGGCGCATTTTTGGACACTCCACTCAAAGCGCTTTACAGGTAATGGGGATCCCCTCCACCACCACCACCAGTGTGCAGCCCCACCTGGATGATGCCAGAACGCTCCCCACACACCAGCTCTCAGTGGGGAGGAGAGCAGAGTAATGTAGCCAATTCATAGAGGGGGATTATTAGGAGACCATGATTGGTAAGGGCCAATGGGAAATTTGGCCAGGACGCCGGGGTTACACCCCTACTCTTTTCGAGAAACGCCCTGGGATTTTTAATGACCACAGAGAGTCAGGACCTCGGTTTTACGTCTCATCCGAAGTTCCCTGTCACTATACTGGAGCATCAGGACCCACATGGACTGCAGGGTGAGCAACCCCTGCTGGCCCCACTAACACCTCTTCCAGCAGTACCCTTAGTTTTTCCCCAGGAGGTCTCCCATCCAGGTACTGGCCAGGCTCACACCTGCTGAGCTTCAGTGGGCTGCCAGCTGTGACTTGCAGGGTGACATGGCTGCAGGGCCCTCAGGTGTGCAGTGGGCCACAGGCTGAAAGCTGTAGATGTATTTCTGTTGCTGGGACTGTGTTTCTACAGGTCCCATGAGAAGAACAGGTTAGTGTCTCATCGTTTCCCAGCAGAAGGTGAGTCCTTTAGAGTTTCCTCAAACATCCCGGTCCCTCATCCCCGGCTTCTCCCCCCTCCTTGGGCTGTCTCCCCAGAGACGGGGGCGTGGCCTCACCTGAGAGATGGGCGTGGCGAACACGTCCCTGACGTCGCGCGGGGGCTGCTTGCTCCTCTTGCGCAGCGAGCAGGTGTAGGTGTCGAGGCGGCGCTGCACGGCGGCGGCCTGCGTGCGGGTCAGGGTGGACAGCAGCACCGCCTGGTCCACGCCCTCGCTGTCCGCGCTGTCCGCGCTGATCAGGGTGGACAGCCCCGCATCCTGCAGCCACTCCTTCTCCTGCTCCCCCTCTGCGGCACACGGACACACCCTGCTAGTCCCACAGGCCGTTCAACAGTTTTAGCAAGGCAAACGGGTTCTTAGTCCTTTTTTTAAAAAATTGATTTCTTGACCATTTTCCCCTAAATCATCTCTGAGATCTCCGTGCCGGCAAAGAGGAAACACACCTGGGATCACAATAAATCAAGCAGGCCCTCACTGAACACCAGACGAGTCTGCTGAAGAAAACACTCCCTTTTACTGCAGCAGCAGTTTTGCATTTCAGGACAGTGACACATGGTGGAATTTGAGTCTTATAACTTCTGTGTCACGCAGTATCTCCTCACACACCTACGGACGGTCAGCCCAGTCCACTCCACAATACTGCCCCCCCGCGTTGCGTTTCGAAATACCGTGCATCCCTGCACTCGCCCCCACCCCCCCCGCCCGCCGCAGCACGGGGCCGTACCCTCGGTCTGCCGGGAGTCACGCGTGGCGCTGTCCTGCTCGGTGTCGCTGCCGCCCTCCCGGATATTCTCCACCTCTGTCCAGAAGTCGCTGAGGGACAGCTTGTCGGGGCGCCCCTGGGGCTGCGTGCGGTCTGTGGCGGCCTGGTCCCGAGGGCTGGCCCAGGGCTCTTGGCTCATCTCGGAGCAGCTGGGATCCCTGAGGGGGGAGAGGGAGAGGGAGTGGGAGGGAGCGGGACAGGCCCGGAGAAGGAATGAGAAGTGGCTGGGGCACCACTCTTGCACTGCATGGGATCTTCAAGGGCAACGGGGCGCTTTGCGTGTTGCCAAGGCCCACATTGGACCCAGGGGCAGAAGGTCACTTAACACTTTCCCCCCCCCGAGGCAAGTTGTGATTTTCTTACGCAAGCAATAATCCCTCAGGGAGCATCTGGAGGCACCGAATAAACGCACAGGGTCAACTCAGAGAGCGGCCGCAGAGCCTGTCTCACTCCTGTCTCCTGCTGTTCTCACGCTTCAAGCGGTATCTTACAGGAATCTCTCAAGCAGCAGTTGAGTGAGGCCTCTGGACTGACTAGGTAGGAGCTAATAATAGCTCTTAGACATTGGAAAGGGCTCTTGTGTTGAACCTGTTCCGTAAAAGCAACCTGTCAAAACATGTCCCCCCCCCAGTTCCTGATGAAGCCCTGTTCGCACTGCGTCACACACGCACACGCCAACACATCCCGCAGCGAGATCTATAAATAGACCAGGAGTGGGACAGATGGGTGTATGGTTGTTGGGTGGAGGTTTTCGGACAATTATTTTTCGTCCCGTCACAAGAGCAAAGGGATTCTTGTCTATTTACGACGTCTTTCATGGTCTGGAAGGGACACAGAGAGGAATGTGGGCGAGAGGGATTTCCGACTTTTTGCTGGATCAGTAGAACATTAACACGGAGTCACTGAGTTTGAATGTACAGCCCGAGAGAGAGGAAAAAGAGTAGGTACTATTACACTTGAAGGTCTCGAAAATATTCTTGAAAAGGGTACGCTCTTTTGTGTTAAAATACAGCAGTACGCAGCTGCTGGAGAGACTAGTGAGACAATAGAAAAATCACAATGTCTGCCATAGCCCGGTCCTGACTTCTAGATGCGAAACTCTTAATGACGCAATGGCTGTGGGTTTGGAATTGGACCCCCATGTTGCAGTACTAGCCTGCCAGAACAGCAAAAATAGAAATTCGTTTCTGCAAAAAATAGTTTTACTACTTTAAAGCCATCCTCACCCCCACAACATACAGAATGTGACTGAAGACCTGTTCATGTTGGATAAAACTGAATATACTGCGCATGTAACTGACATTAGAACAGCTCAGTCAGAGATGTGCTCCATCTCCAGCGAATTTTTAAACATTATCTCAGAGAAAATCACTCGATTGAGTGGTCCGTATTTGCTAGAGTGCCTTTTGCAACAGTTTGCCACAGAAGCGCTTAACAGATTTATACAGCAGTTGGCAATGTTGCACAGCAGAAGGTGACCATGTGAGCAGGGAGGAGGGGAACACAAAAACTCCCAGTGAGAGAAGATACGTTTCTGGTGGTTCCAGGCCTCCAGGAAATGGATATTAGGTAATGAACAATCTCTCAAAGAGACTTGTTTTCCTGTTTTGTGTCCTTTTGGCTCCATTTCCTTTTATTTTTTCTCCCTCATTTTTTCCCAACTTTATGTAGCATTTACATTGTTAGCTATCGTGTCACTATTGACACAGTGCAAAGCCACTACAGGTCAAGAGTGTTAGCGTGGCTTCGAATAGGAAAATTGTTTTAAAAAATTCCCTGGAAATACCCAGGATGACCAGCAGAGGTCACGTCTGTTGTTTTTAACTGGTTTGGTGTAAAATCTGTCAGTCGCCTCCGGGCCACTACAGGGAGGCAAGAAATCCTCAATACACAGGTAGCTCCAGTTTTCAGTCAGAATCGTCTTGTTAGAGAACTGCATCATAGAAAACTATGAACTGTAACATGACACTATACCAAGAGGATTCAAAAACTCAACGCATGAATATCAGACACAAAAGCGTTAGCTGTGTCTTTAATTCCCTTCAATTACATCTTTCTCAAAGCCTACAAAAAGAAATAATTAACTGAATCCCTATAGAGGTCCTTTCTCGTCTTTCACGGTCCCCAAGATCAAATGTAAACGTGCTTCAGTTTCCAGTCAGCTAGCTAATGATATCTGAGTTGCGTTTTTGCTCTGTCTGGTCTGTGTAACACTTTGTGAGACCAGATTAACTCTCCCTTGCTCTCTCGGTCTGCGCAACGCTAAAACAGAGGTCCTAGGGCAGTCCTAGGACACACACCAACAGATGTGGGTGCATGTGTTTATATCTTTCTAATAGGTACTGGCTCTGTCAAAGAGCATACAGTATAAAATAGTAAAAAGCCGTAGTTTTACTGTTCTGTGCTGTATGTTTCAAGGTTAATCGCTAGAGAATTATTTTTCCACTGACTGGGTAAAAAGTATTCTGCACAGGCTCTTGCAATGAAGTTGAACTGTGAGAGGTTACAAGCCGTGTGTGGTAACTGCTAGTGGTGTCTCGTGCGTGTCGAGCTGACAGGATATGAAGAAGAAGTAAAGGAATGCGGCTACACAGCATTCTCCACACCCGCAGAGCAGCACTCTGATCTCTCTTTCTCCCCTTCCATCCTCTTTCTGACACAGTCGACTGCTGCGGCAGTCAGATCACATCACTAGCAGGGGTGAAGGAGATGTAGTACGTCTACACGGAGCAGTCTAGCCAGTGTTGACCCAACGGGAGCCCCCCGTTCTATTCACAAATCCTGCAGGATGCCACCAGGTCAGACAGCCCTCAGTCCCACTAAGGCATTCCAGACCGCAAGTAAGAACCGCTGGGTCAGAAGCTAATGCTGGAAAGTGTCAGGGTCAGATTCGGGCTGGAGCACATCTGGATTATGAAAAAAAAAAAACTGGAGGTTGAAACAACGGAGAGCCCGCAGGTTCTGGAACAAAAAGCAGGAGTAAAAACTCAACGGCTCAACAGCTCTTGTTTTGACAACGAGCCCTGATCATGGGAGGCCACTGAGAGCTTTCATCTAGTTTTCAACACTATGCTAGACAGAGGGGGACCCAAGAATCAGTTTCCCAGTCCTGGCCCTGTTTCTGCTGGTTTTAAATCCTGCTGGACATTCAGTTATTTAATTGAGCCCTTAACTGAACTAAGAATCTGGTTACTTTTATGATTTTAGCTGTTTCCCACTCCTTAAAAACTCCTTTCAGGTTACTTCAGTTCTATAGCTGAGTGTCATAGCTATAAATTCAAGTTGGCAAATTAGTATTTACTGTAAATAAGTTGTTCACTTTAATAATCAAAAGCTCAGTTGACAACAAAGACCACGAGCCAGGTGAGGTGCTGGATTGGGTCATCCTGGTCTAAGGGTTTTGTCTCATCTCTCAGTTCCTTAACTGAAGCCTTAATCAAATTAATGATTCGATTAATTAGACCTTCTTCGTTGCTTTCAGCTCTTAAAATTTGTTTTTTAGAGAACATATTAGAGGTACCTTTAAATATCCCACTGTGTTAAAAACTGTAAAAAAAAAAACAATTAAAAAGCACTAATGAAGCAGCATGTCATTCGTTTAAGTAAACATTCAATTAATTATTGAATGCGCAGCTGGAGACCAGTGAGAACAGGAGCCCTCTGGGACTGAGGGTGAAACACAAATACCTTGTATTGGGTGTTCTTCACACCCAGCCGAGGTTAAAGACAGCATCTAAACCCCCAGTGATGCCAGACAGAAGAGGCGCACAGCAGGTACCTGAGGTTCAACTGGTTGGAGGACCTCAAGCGCAGGTTGGACAGAAGAAGGCTTGGCTGCACGTTGGGTCTCGTGATGACCGCCTGCCTGAACAGCCGGCTGGGAGGCGGCTTGGCCATGAGCTCCTCTCTGCCACTCGTGGCGTTCGTCTCCGAGGGAGGAAACCGGGAAGGCGCACGAGCCATAGAAAGGGTCCTCTTGGATCATAGCGGCAGGCAGATCCTCGCAGCCCTGGCTCCTACCTCAGGCGTGGTGGAGAGAATCACCGGCGCCACGCATACCACTCTTGTTGCTCACTGTCCCTCCTGTCACATCCCATCCAGAGGCATGCCCGCGTGATGTAACCTCTGAGGGCCAGGCCAGATCAATGATGACAAAATCCCACTGCTTACACCACGGCCCTTTCGCGAATACGGTTCACACAAAAAGGCTGAACCTCCACATGTGGCGCCCCAGAAAGAACACCGGCGGTATATTCTAACAAGTCAAACTAGAGATTAGATGTCCACGGATATAGGTTTTACACTACAACCCAGTATTCTTCCTGCATTTTAGTGCTAAAAAAAGGGCTAAAAAAGTTCCGTCAACGTGATTTTTTGGTAAACGGTGAAAAAAAATCCCAACATTTTCACAAGCACCACACTTTTGGCTGAAAATTCCTCGCCAGTGTGATGGCAGCAGCTTTCATGAGATTTTCCATTTCCTCTCTGCGTTTGCAGGGTAGGGTTACGTCTGTTTTGGGTCCAGATCCAGGCGATTTGTCTGTAAAGCGTCAGTGTCTCCTATAAACAACCAGCACGGCTCGGTCAGATGCAAAGGGTAATTCATCAGGACTGAAACACACATTTACAACATCCTCCTGCTTCAGCTGTGAGTTGGCTTGTTTTCCGTGAGCTGTTGTGGAGTCTGTAAGGGCTGCAGCCAGGGAGGGACGTTCTGCAGGCTAAACTGGCTTTTCTTCATTCCCCGAAAAACAGAGTTTCACGCGGTCTTCTGAGCACTAGGCATTCCTCTCATGCCTCCCACCAAAACAAGGTGTTCTTCCAGCTCTCCTCCGAGCACACTCCACGAGCAAGGAAACTGGAGGGCTATGTCCGAGTGGCAGGGTAGAGGAGACCCGGCCGTTATGCAGCACGATCGAGACAAGCCAGAAATACTTTGTGCGGCCTTACAGTATCCAACACCATTTCAACATGAACATGCACTCCGGAGAGGCTCCAAAGACCCCCTCTTGAGCTGCACCACAGGACTAACAGGTGGAGGCGATCACCGATCATGCCAGATTGCCAGGTCCTCATAGATCAGGATCGATTTAAAGGAAGAACCTGTGGTGTCTAAAACCTCCTGTTTGTATTGGAAACTCTCTCACCCTCGTGCTCACACAGATAGGTCTTGGTCGTTCATCACTTCTAGTATTTTCTGACCTCTGATTGGAAGCACTGGTCTCTCTACAGAGCAGCTCTAACTGCCTCTGCCTGTGGCACAGTACCTGCCTCTTTAACGAGGAAACGCACAGAAATAACAGCCACCCGCGCTGTTTCCTTCAGTGTTTAAAATAGCAGAAGGAATGTGAGTCTTAATACACAAGAACAGCTGCAGGGCTTCCTTGTTTGTTTGTGTTTAAAGTCCCTCCGGGAGAAGATAAACACTTACTTTTGAGCTACTTTTCAAAAGCGTACCAAAATGAAGAAGAAAGCACAACTAAAAAACATATTGTGTCTTTTGTTCTTCTTCGCAGAGCTGGCGTGTTACTGTGCGTGCGCGATTTAGAAGGGATGCATTCTTTCCTCCTGTCTGCCTGTCGCCGAGCTGGACTTTCCGCATGTTCGAGACGTGAGGTACCTCAGTGAAAAGCACGCCGTAAAAAGAGGGTTATCATGGCTTAAACTCGGCACACTGCCACCATCTGGTCGCTCACGTACGCTGCATGTATGAGAGCCGCATGCGACGATCACCAACAGGCTGGGGCCCATCAAACACGGGACTTTTCAACTCAACCCAGCACAGCACATGGGCGTAAACGGCTAGATCCGTCCACCCATTTTCCAATCGGTTCTTCCGAACCAGGGTCCCCGGGGAGCCAGAGCCTATCCCAGCAGGCAACGAGCACAAGGCAGGGCAGGGTACACCCTGGACAGGATGCCAGTCTCTCGCAGGGCACAGAAGGCCCCACAGTGTTTCTTTTCTTCTCTTTTCAGCATGAAATAAACCTTTACTTGTTCCTCTGCCGCTTATGCATGCTGACGCAGCTACCGACTGGAACTCAATTAACACTGGTTTAATTTAGAATTATATATAAATAATTGCCTATTGTTCAATGAGTAAACGTAAATGAGGAGCTCCATATATTTGACCACCTCATTGTGTACTGAGGGGTCCACAGGTTAGAATAACAAACCGCTACGCAGTGCAATGTCTGGGTTTCACACATCAAGCGTCAAGCCTGGCATCCCAGAATCCCCTGCAGATGAAAACTCGACAGGCCACTGATCAGGCCAAG